CTATTTCCAACGCGGTATTCTCTGGGCCTTGGCAGTTTGCACGTTTGGCTAAAATTGATTGTCGACTTGTAAGCAATCAGAATTCTTAAGTGCACAGATTTAGGTAATCATGATCGAAAGTTTCGGCGACTTGCAGGATATAGTTTTGCTGTGGAATCTGGTTAGATTTTAAGCATACATTTGAAGCAGAAACGGTAAACACGGCAAAGAAGTCGATCATGCTTCCTTCGATTACTCATCTGGAAACTGAACACAACATACGTCATTTAGAATGACAGCGTGAAGCACAGTAGAAGTTGTAAATGGATCACCTTCAGCGATAAAACTTCGATGTGGCAGCAGCCAGTCTCCGGGGGATATGAAACGGTTAACTTTATCAACAATGGAAGACCTATCAGCACAAACGGCTTCAGGTGATAATCACCTGAAATCAAAACATGAATAAACGGCTCTGTGAGAGACGATCCTGCGTCTCATCAGCATTAACCAACCGTTAGGTAGATCATCCGTCATTTAGTAACCTGATTTGAAGGTCGATTTGCTTCGATTCGGGTTCGAAAACGCTGTTGGATTCTTGAACTGTGATGATCCGTTGCGAGGTTTATCTGGTTTTAATCAGATCTGCGGTAAGTTGGTAGATTCTGAGTTCGTTGCGAGTTCGGTTGGTCATCAGTTAGCTGCAGTGAGCAGCAGATGCTCTAACCTCTTTAGCCACATCTCACTCAGACAGGGCCTGAAAGTCGAAGCCTGTCAACCAAGCCTTGAAACTGGCAGCCTTTGCCAAGGGATAAATTCCACACTCTTGCCAAATTTTAGCAGATCATAACCCCTCCTTGCTCCACTCGTTAAGCTTAACTTGATAAATGGCATTTTTCATTTCATCTGGCATTTCATTTTTCATTTTTCACTCGTTAATATAACAACTGCATGGAATGAAGTTGCACATTGAAGCTGGCGAGGCACAGCACGGTAGAATAGAACTGTCTGCTCTCTGTAATGACCAACTTTTCCCTGCCTTGATGTCGTTTCTAAAAGACGTTTGTCATACGGATTGCAAATATCCCTAGTCAGTAGATTGTTTCCTTTTCCACGGGGAAAACAACAAAACGGTAGAACAGCAGGGTCAAAAACATTTTCATATCATGGCAGGTAAATAACTGTTGCAAATCTTTGGCAGTACTCAAGAAGAGTTTTAAGAAATCAAGTCCTCATTGGCGCGTTCAATTTTAAAAACATCGACGACGAGACCATTAATGTCCCCATCGTACGCTTTCCAGATCCGTGCAATAATTTTCACTCAGTGAAATTGGTTTACTTAGAACTTAACTCCCATTGACTAGGTCAGGTCAAACAGTACCGCTGCTTATATTAAGGACGTTGTTGCCTATGCTGATTGTATGCGCAACTTGCAGAGACCATTCCTATGCTGATCCTGCTAACACAAGTACATTATGATAGGTGGAGCTGCAGTACTATATCCTGAGCAACTAAAGACTCTGGTCTACCATGTCAAATGTGGCTTGATCAAGATGCAAGCTCGTACTGGCAGCAGTTATCGATACGAATGTTCCATCCTTTACGATCATGCGTCATTTATCTTTTCTGTTACCTTATTTATTCTTGTGTCAAATCTGATACCGTTGAGTAACTGGCTATGGTGTGTGAATGATAGCGTTTTCTGACTACTTATTTCAGTTCATCGACAATAAGTTGACTTTGTTTTCCCAACTATGCGCCCTTTGGTTCAAGAATGCAGCTAATTTCGATGTGTTTGTGTTGACCAGCGCCAGGCTCGTACGTGTTCTATCGTTAAACAAGAGGAAGCTCTTCACCACTTGGCTGTCCGTGATAAGCACAGGATTGTGCAGTTACTAATCATTGCCTGGCAAGTGCCAAATTCGCATTTATCCATTCATCTTCGAGACCAGGTCTGTATGGCCGGCAGGCCGTCTCGCGCCGAAAACAACGCGCATCATCTGGCACCGACTGGTGAGTGTGAGGGAACGTCACCTGGTCATTCGCCGGTTGCATTACACACACAAAACTGACACGTGCTGGCGGAACCGAAAGCTGATTAGTTAAACAATGAGAGAAGGCAGCAGCCACGCCGGAGGAAATCGCATTCCTCGCTGTCATATTTTCGAAGTCAGTCATGAACTTTTTCATTAGTTCGCACGAACGTGTATAAAACAAATGCAACGCTCGGTCTGTTGGTGTTCTTCAATTTTCCAGTGTCGATTGGATCGACTGACAAGAACACATCCGCCGGCCGGATCTGCGGTCTTTGCGCCGGGCGGTTGTAATGATTTCAGAGTTCATACGTGGCTCCTTGTGTTTGTACACGTGCAATCGTGCCAAGCTGGCAGCACACATCAGATGCTAAGGTAAAAACATTTTACTTCGC